GAACAATGAATCATGGAACACTTCATCTAGAACTAATGATGTAATGTATGGGGATTAACATAAGAATAAAAAATAAATAAATAAATAAAAAAGAAAACTCTTTTAGCTACATCAAAAAGAGAAATGACCGGGGCGCCTGGGTGGCTCAGTCGGTTAAGCGTCTGCCTTCAGCTCAGGTCATGATCTCAGGGTCCTGGGATGGCCCCCTGCTCAGCGGGGAGTCTGCTTCTCCCTCTCCCTCTGCCCCTCCCCCTGCTCCTGCTTTCTCTCTCTCTCAAATAAATAAAATCTTAGAAAAGAGAGAGAGAAAAATGACCTCACAGGCCTGAATGGATCAGAATCAGCCCATACTCTTTTATTCTTTCTCATATAAAATGACAACAAAAAACCAAAACTTATTTACCCGAGGGCTGATTTGACACGACTGCTCCCAAGTGTCCTTTCACCAGAAGCTGGCGAGGCCGTGCCATGGGCCAGATGGGGGGCTCGGTCACCCTGATGCCCTCGCCCCCCGCCCTTCATCCCTCACGCCAGACACAGCAGTTGGCTGCAAGCTGTGTTCTCTGCGGCCACACTCAGTGTGAGAAAATGCTGCTGGTCGTGTTTATTCAGCATGTACAACCCGGTATCAGAATGTCTGCGTTGTGTTTGTTTGCTCTTCGTTTTTCTTGGTCTTAGGCCAAAATAGACTGTCAACACAAAACCTATCTGAAGACTGGGGTGTACGTTGGGGTGCGGAAGGTGCCCGGGAGAGGAACATCTGTGCGCGTTTACTTTCAGCTACAAAGAAGCGGACGCTTCTTGCCAGCTATCGACTCCAGGGACACATCTCGGGCTCTCCTGCTAAGCCCACAGAATGCTGACCTCCAAGCTCAGGGACGAAGTGCTTCGGACTGGTTTTTGCAGGGACAGAGGAATAGTCACAATCCATAGCTAACCCTTTGGGGGCAAGTAGATAGCGGTGGATGAGGAAGGAAAAGCAGATACCGCTAAATCTCTCCCTCGTGAAATTTTACATTGCCCAGCAAAATAGATACATTGACGTTGGCTTTGACTTTTGCCAAAAAATCCATTGGCGAGAAGCCCAGGGCCCAGAGCGCAGGGACCCCTCTGCATTGTATCAGAAGAGGAGGCAGCTGCAGGAGCCCAAGTGGGTCAGCAGCCTTGGGAACAACAGCCCAGCCAAGGACCCTGGACAGACCCTCCCTCCCAGGCTAGAGGCTCCCATCATGTGTCCACTCTGTCCCCTTGGGTAGGCAGGGCCCCAACAAACCAGGCCCACATCGGAGGATGTGGTCAGAGGGCCATGTGAGGTGCAAGGTGGGTAGAGGTGGAACGGGACTGAGTGACAGCATCAGGGGATTCTGTGCAGTGTCACTGAGGCAGGCAGAGGAAAGGGGGCGCAAGAGAGCAGAAGCAGGAGGGATTGGACTCAGTGTAGGGTCCCCAGACTTCCACAAGAAGGCTTGGACTGTGGAAAGGTGGGGAACAGCTGAGGAGCCCCAAGCCCTTGGGGTTTGGCTACCGATGGCTTTTTAGGGGGGCAGCTCAGGCTGGGGCCTGGCGCTGAGGAAGATGGTGAAGTCCTTGTCTCTGCCACCCTCTATGGTTGTCAGGCTGACAGCTACTCACTGGGTTTGGTAAGCACTAATAACAAAATAAAATTGTAAACATAATGTACTATGCAAATCGTGCATCGTATCACAAAAATGTGAACTACTTTGCAAAAAAAGAATTCGCATTCATGGTCAGAAGGGCCCAAAGGATTATTTTAAATTTGGCCATTTAAAATATTGCCTATCGGGGGGCCTGGGTGGCTCAGTCCATTAAGCGACCAACTCTCGATTTCGGCTCAGGTCATGATCTCAGTGTCGTGGAATCGAGCCCCACGTCGGGCTCTGCACTCAGTGTGGAGTCGGCTTGGGATTCTCTCTCTCTCCCTCTGCCCCTCCCCCTGCTGTCTCTCTCTCTCTAATAAATAAAATCTTTAAAAATATATAAAAGATTGCCTATCCTTCAAGCTGTTTTGTACCAAAATGAGCATACTTCTAGACAAAAAGGATAAAATACTCACTGTAGTTCATTCATTTCAACAAATCCCAGTGGTTGGTGGTGGTTGTCTAAATTTCTACCGCCCTTGTCCATGGGTGTGTGCTGTTTCTAGATCATCATGTTCCTCCTGTACATATGTCTTGATTTCCTCACATAACATGCTGCCGTAAGTATTGATCTTCTTCTCCACATAGACTCCAAAATCGACTGATTTTAGCGCCCTTTGAAAATCAACATGCAGTGTTGCTGGATATTTTTTAATTCCTCTCATAAATTCGACAAACACTGTTGTGTTTCTGTTTCGCTTGCTATAGGATCATTTCCTTAAGACAAATTACCAAAGGAGACTCGTGAACCAAGGTTCTTACAAAGTTAAAGCAATGTTTTTGTTTCTCAATATGCATTTCCATTCCTCTCCGGTAGCAACAAGTGTGAGGGTCTCAGCTTCACCGCATTTCATCAGCTTGCAATGACTTGTTTCTAGTTTAACATTTATAAAACAATAGCATTAGTGGGATTTTTACTTTAAACTGCTTTTTAACTCTCATTAATATCACTCTGTTCTCATAGAGCGATGTGGTTTAGCATGCTTTGAAGTAAAAGCAAGTACTTTGAAGCAGAAGTGCATGCAGAATTTTGTTTAGCTGGGCTTTAAGCATCCCAAATGAAGAGCAAGCATTATAAAAGTACCATTTTCAGTTTCGAATACGATTTTATATAGCACTATGCATCTTTTTTCTCTGCCACATATTTTGTTAACTATGTAAATTAAATGTACTTAAACCATCACGGTCCATGAAAGAGAAAAGCACAACTTTAAGAAAATGCATCCAAGCAACAGCAGTAGGAAAGGGAGCCTTTGCTCTGTTTGGTCCTCATTAATTGGCCCACAGGCACACACAACCAGCCCCTTTTGTCCGGCTTGTCAGAGGACATTAGCTGAGACTAATCTGGAAGCCGCTTCCTGACTCCCAAAAAGACACAGCCACCAAGTAAGAAAGACTCATTTATCAGAACACAAACTCTGCTATGTAAGTGAGGATTGTGGAAAGCATATTTCATGCATCATTATCTGGGCCTGAGTAGCAAGGATGGAAATTGGTCCTCAATTTTAACAATCAGTGGAAAAGACCTTCAGCTTTCACTGAAGCTAGACAATTGCCCTCGACATGTCTCTGTTCTCTACGCAGCGAGAACAGAGACAAGAGCCCTTGCAAAGGCTGCCTTGAAATCGTTTTGGCATTAGACGTCCTGTGGATGCTATCGTCCGAGTGACGCAAATAAGGCGAGTTCCGGCTCCCCTCAGCGGGCGGGTTGACATCAGGTGGCGGGGGCCACAGTGTGCCACTGGACACCAGACGTGGCCGGCTCTCCCCCGGGTTTGGAGCCCATGTGACCTCGGGCGGATCCATTAGTCTCTCGGCACCTGGTTTCCTATCTGTAAACAACGAGAATACTACCTGCCTTAAAATTGCTTGTAAGGGTTATAACAAGATAATCTGTGCAGAAGCCCTGTGTCTGGAGACTGGCTGTGCAGGCCGCACCTGGAGCAGGACAGGGGCAGCCCTCCCTGGGAGGGGCTTCGTCCAGTCTTGGGGGGACGGTTATCACGGTCCCCGTGGCTGGAGTTGTTGCTGCCGGTCACACGTGCATGCGCACGCACGCACACACACGCGCACGCACGCACACGCACGCACGCACGCGCACCCGGACTATGTCCCGGCAACGCCGAGGGCAGCAGGACCCCGTGAGGACAGAACTGCGTGAACTCGGCTGTGCGTTGTGCCTTCCTCGGGTACTTCCAGAAGAGAGTAGAGAAATAAAGAGTAAGAGAAATGAATGCCCTTCCCTTCTCTCTGGTCTTCCCTAGACCTGAAGCCGCTATAACCTCCAGTGGTGATGAAGACCTGTTTCTCACCGGGCAGTTCCAGAAAACCCTTGAGGAACTGGATGAGGAGCTGGAAGGTGAGCGCAACCCTCCATCCTGCTACAGTATTAATGTTGTGTGGCGGTAGACTCCGGTGGTGGTCTTTTTCTGGCCATGCTTGGCATGGCTCCCTGAAGGAAAGTTCGGTGGGAGAAACCCAGTTCCGTCTGAAGAAAGCCTGGGTGTGAGGGGCGGGCCGGTGAGCACAGCTTGGGAAACGCTGGGTGACAGAGGCGAACAGGTTCCCTAAGACTTCCACCCCTTTGCTTGCTGATGTTTGGCGTATCTCAGAGGGAAATTCAGTACGCACCGCCTCAGCCGTGAACCCGTTTATGGTGGAGCGCTTGCTGTTGTACGGATAGGTTTTGGGGAGATGATACTCCAAGGCCAAAGCAGATGCAGATGCTCTCAGTAGACAACCAAGGAATCTTTCAAACAAAGGCACACGCTGATAGTAATCTAGAAAGTAGGTGTTGGCCATGCCTTCAAACAGAAACCAGAAGGAAACAGACTGCAGAGCTGATCCACAGTCTACTCGCCTGTCGGCCTTCTGTCCTCAGAAGATGTACTGGACAGAGTTGAAAAGGCTGAATCGGTCACCCTGTGTCCCTCTGGCTATGACCGTGTGAGCGGCTGCATCCCTTAGGGCTAATTCTGAGGTGCCCAGTTAGTCATCTGCCTCTTAAGAAGTTAAGGCGTGAGCACATCACCCCGTGTGGTTTGTGGTGCTTCCGAAGAACACGAGTAAGCTGAAGGTCAAAACCCAAAACTCACCTCCGTGTTCCGCGCTGAGACAGCGTTTCCAGGGGGCAAAATGTGGTACCTGAATGCCTTACCTTGAGACATCGCGGCTGTGCAGAGCTTCTCCATCGAGCCATCAGAGTTGAGACTTGGGCCCCAGGCATGTGCAGGTGACGAACTGGAATGGCACTTTAAAATGTATGTAAATAACTTACCCAAAAATAACCTCAGGAAAATCACAGCCAGGGTGTGATTACACTAAGTAATTGGCTTGGGAATCATGCCAGCGATGCCAATCTGTGACTTGTGTTCGTCCTTCTTTGCAGAACTGGAAGAGAGCCCTGAAGCCTGCAGCAGCCTGCCAACCGGCTCTGTGAATGGCGTGTCCCCTCACTGCACGCCAGGAGCCACCATCCCCGAGTGTGATGAGGACACAATCCCAGTCACCTTCATCGGGGAGGTTTCAGATGACCCTGTGGATTCGGGGTTGTCTTCCAATCGAAACAACAATGCTGGTCTAGGGGGCATCGTGGGCAGGGAAGCCCCCCCAACGCCACGTCAGGAGGAGAACAGCCAGCAGCGTGGAAGGAGGGCAGAAGTGCCCAACGCACCCGCTCCTCCCCACGACATCGGGGAAGAACGCAAACCCGCCTCGTCCAACCCCTGTGAGGCTGTGAATCTGAATAAGATGGAGCCCAAGGTGCCTTCGGCAGCGTTTCCCCCGCACGGCCCAGATGCAGAGCTGAGTGGCGAGGAGCCTGCCTCTGCTCTCGGTGGGAAGACGCAGGCCAGCAAGACAGCGAGGTCACAGCCAGTGAGGGACAAGGAAGGTGAGGGTGTGAATAGTGGCTCAGCACCACCATCCTGGTATCAACGGGGCCAAAGCCCAGGGGGAAGTTATGGACTTAAATATGGCCTCACGACGTATAAAATTGTCCCTCCGAAGTCAGAGATGAGGTGTTACGACAGAGGAGTGTCGCTCTCAACAGGTGCCATTCAGATTGATGAGCTAGGGAATCTGGTGAGTCCCCACGCCGACAGGGGCAAGACCATAGCCCTGTCGCCGTCCGCCCTCGACGTGGAAACCCAGCCCATTGGAAAAGGCAAAGAATTCTGGAGGTCCAACTCCCTAGAGAAACACTTTGGCCAGCCCACAGAGGGCTTCACCAAGAGGACCCCCACTCCCGCCACACCAGGGAAGCCACAGTCTCAAGAAAACAGACTCCGAGCAGAGCCCACCTTCCCAGACCCCAAAGTGACGTCACCCCCACAGCAGTCTGCCCGCCAAGAAGGGGGGGGACATCTGGAGGAGGGCAGAAGCCGGCCACCCACGGCTGCCCCTTGTCACATCAAAATGCCAGCAGGGAACGCCACGGAAGTCCCATTTCTCAAGCCTCAGAGAAGAACGTCCAGTCAGTACGTGGCCTCTGCCATTGCCAAGCGGATAGGGCCCCAGAAAGCCCACACCGGCCTGGTGAGGAAGCACAGCCATGCCGAGGAGACCCGGGAAGGCGGAGCGCCAGAGCTGGCTGGACAGCATCCCGCTAGGACAGACAGCACAGCCCCCAGCCCGTACTCAGACACACGCTCCCGTACCTATGGGGGAGCCTCGGCGGTGGGAGCCCAGCCCAGAGCTCAGGTCAGCAGCCCTCCTGGAAAGCTGTCTGCTCCAGACTGTCCTGCTGGCGTCCACAGAAGTCCCTATGTCCCGCCCGTCACAGCTTCCCAGGGGGATCACGTTTCTGTGATGCAGAGCTGGAGCCTCAGTGGAAGGCAAAGGACCAGCAACCCCAGGACCAGCTCAGCATCTGCCCCCACATGCACGCTGGATGGTACAAACCCCCCGCCTGCCCGCTCGGGAGACGATCAGACTCCTGGCAGGACCCTGGTGGACGGCTCCAGGTGGGGCCCCATCCACGCCGAGCCTCCTCAGTCTCCGAGAGGGTCCGGCATGAATAACCATGCCGGACAGGAGCCCCTACAACAGGAGGAAAAGCCCAGTTTGTCGTGCGCAGAGGTACACGAGACCGACGGTACGCCGTCCCCCAGCATCTTTGGGCCAAAGAAGAAATTCCGACCCGTGGTCCAGAGGCCAGCACCAAAAGACACGTCGCTGCACAGTGCTCTCATGGAAGCCATCCACTCGGCGGGAGGGAAGGACGGGCTTCGCAAGGTGAGCGGCCGGGTACCTGTCTTTAGGGCTTAGGCTCCCCTTCCACACCCACGCGGGTCCTCGGGGGCCTGGGGGAGGGGCAGGGCCGGCGGAACAATGAGCAGGATGCTCGGGGTTAATTTCCACCAGGAGTTTCTTCGTCTCACTGCCTTAGGGGATTTAGAACCACGAAAGAGACAAAAACGGGTTTGGGGTTGTCCCCACTGCCTTTAAGGCCCTGACTCTCCTGGGGAAAGATGTCGACAATAAAGTGTCCACATCTGGGCCCAAGGGAGCGGAGAGGTAGGGGTGGATCATCCCTGACCGGTTCGTGAACGAAGGTGTGAGTCAGGGAAGACTCAGGCCAGGACCACTCCTGCCTGACGTCCCTGCATCTCTGGCAGCTCATACTGTCATTGTTGAGTAGCAATAGGGACAGTTTAGGAACTCCCTCCCTAGCCAGGCACTCAGCACCGACGCTCGGCATTGGGAGCCATCTGCTTCATTTTATAGATGAGGAACTGAGGCAGAGCACTGTCAGGAGAGCAGAAAGCCAGCAGCCATAACCGGGAGCCCGCACACCTGCCCTTTGCTTGTTAGAGGCTCTCAGGTCAATATGCAATCTTAAGTCGCTACGGTTCCATGCAAACACATTCTTCCTTCTAACACGGGGCTGTATAATCCATCCTAGAGCCCTCAACTGACAGGTAGTGCTTTTGCTCTGAGGCTGTCCTACTTAGTACTTCTCCTTCCGGGTGACGTGTGTCGACACTGTGAATATTCTAGATTGCAGCAGACACCTCCGAGGGAGGGCCCAGGAAGCCGTCCTACACGGAGACCGCGGGCGAGCGCTCCGCACTGCTGTCCGCCATCCGAGGCCACAGCGGTGCCTGCAGCCTGCGGAAGGTAAGAGAAGGGCCTTCCGTGGCAGGATGGGCGCGCACAGCCATTCCCCGGAGCGCCCCACGTGGGTGCCACAGAAGCCGGGGCAGCCCTCCCGTGTCCTAAGCATCTGCTAAGCCACCCTCAGGGTGGGCAACCCAGGACCGCTGAGGCTGGCGCGGAGGGGCAGCCCTTGCGTGGGAGAGGCCAGGCATCCGGGAGCGGTCCTCCTCCCTTCCTACCTGCCCACCTGGCACGGAGCGTTTCCCGAGTTCTCGGGCACCCAGTGTGGCTGCAGGGCTGTCTCTCCTGGGGGCAAAGTTGCTGGTCCTCTGGCACTGATCTGGCACGGCCTCGGGAGCCCAGGAGGGCCGGAGCTGAGGGGCAGGACCGCGTCCTCCAGCTTCCAGTCGCAGAATCCGAGGAATCGCGTGATGGGCATTTTACTCCCCGACAACTGGTCAGAGTGGTGTGGATGGCCTCCGGGTCTGTCCTCACCTGCCAAGGCGAGGCAGGAGGTCAGGGAGTTCTCAGGAAGGCACGGCGGCCACCCCGCGCCCCGCCATCCGTCGCCGGTTGGGGAACTCAGGCAGCGAGCTCGCACACCTCCCGGGCTTGCTGCGGGCTAAGTGAGGCCGTGGGCGGGTGGCCCCTCCAGAAGGCCCTCAGGGACCTTGTCACTGAACCATGTCATCTCCAGGTGTCATCCTTCGCCTCCGAGGAGCTGCGGAGCTTCCGGGACACCGAGCAGTCATCAGAGCCGCCAGGACTCCGTGACCTTGGCCTTCAGCCCCTGCCCGCCCCGCCCCCACCGCCTCCAGCCACCCAGGCTCCCTCCACATCCAGGATGGCGGCCAGGTCCAGCTCAGGCAACCCCGCCCAAGCCAGGCAGGCCCTGATGGACGCCATCCGTTCCGGCACGGGGGCCGCGAGATTGAGAAAGGTGACAGTGCGTGACCATGTGAGCGTTCATGTGGGGCCAGCAGGGGGTCAGCAAGGAGCCACACGGCAGGGAGATGGCCGCGGGGAGGGGTGGCTGACAGCCCGCGTCCCTTACCCCAGGGACCAGAGGAGATGGCCCTCAGCGGGTGGGGGGTCGGCCCACAGACTAGCTCCTGGGGACGCAGGGGGTCCCCCCACATGGGTAACCCCTAACTGCATCTCAGCCACCCACTCTGACTGTGGTGCACGGGGGATCTAAGCTGCGTCCTGTAGAGAGCCCATGTCACCCTCGCGGCCCTCAGCCTGGGTTGAGGCTCTCAGCACAATTTCTGTTTGTTTGTTTTGGCTAGCATTATGTTTGAAGTGATTGAGTCTGAAGCCCGTTGGGCAGAGCGCACGCGCCCTGGTTCTGCGGCTCCTACTTGCGTGTGGTCTTACGCTGGTTCGCACATTTGTCACCCTCACGTTCCCCAAAGCGGTGGGGTTTGCACCACGACCACGGTGGGACTCCCAGACTCAAGGACTCTCGGGCCGCGTGGGTTCTGGGATCCGTTTCTCCGCCCGTGGATTGATTCTCTGCCTCTGCCCATTTCTGGTGGGTTTGGGGAGTTCTGCTAATGACAGGGAGGCTGGTGACAGATATTATTTCCCAGGAGACGATCTCCAGATGCTAAGCTCCTGTTTTCACATGGACCTCAAGAGGTCAGTACTCAGATGATCCTCAGTGCATATGGGAAGTGAATGAGGCTCAGACAACCTGAGTGGTTTGGCCTTGGTCCCACAGGACCGGGTGCAGACAGGGCTCAGTTAGGGCACAGAAGGTGCTCGGAAGCAGGTATCCGCTGTGGGAGAGCAGGTGGCCCTCGAGACAGGGCAGAGCTGCTGGTGCTGCTGAGAAGGCAGATGGCTCTCCGGCTGTCCCCCACCCCCCGGGAGCCTGTGGAAGCAGAGGAGCAGGGAGAAGACCCCCCTCCCTGCAGGCAGCAAGCCCAGGACATGATGGGCAGTCCTCACTCAGGCCCAGAGATGCCCAGCGGTGTTACCCAGTGCACTCACAGCCTGACCCCCCACCGCCTGGCGGCTCCCCTGCTCGCAGGTCACCCCCAAGGCTTGTCCCTGTGTGACAGGGAGGCATTCCCGGCTGTGTGCATGCGTGTGGCCCCCGGGAGGGACCCCAGACATCGGCTGTCAGGCCCAATGGCCCCACTGATCCTGGGGTACAAGTTTGAGGTTCTCAGAGTGAAATCCATCTGACATCTCCGCCCTGATTCAGATTTGGGGGCGGGGTGGGAGGTGAGCCGCGGAGCTGCGATTTTCAAGTGTTTGCCAAATGACTTCACCTTCAGATCGGAACTAATTAGCTATATCAGCCGCGCTTCTACTCTATTTCAGGTAATGCTGAACATACTTGTTTTATGACCACAGACCATACCTGTTTCTTACATATGCCAGTGCATTGACGGATTTCTGGATCTTTCCGGAAGAGCTGTTACCCTGTCCAAGGAGCCTGGGCCCCGAGAGGTGAAAAGCTTGCCTGAGGCTGCACAGCTAGGAGGTGGCAGACCACAGCAAGTCTGACCCTCACGCTCGTGCCTTCTGGAAAGAAAGAAAAAAAACACGTTTGGGAGTTGTGTGGAGGGGCAAGAAGTTGTGCCGCGAGAAAGGAGGTGGGGATGGGGACAGTGAGGAGAGGAGGACCAGGACCAGAAGGGGCCAGGTGGGCGTTGGGGTGGCACAGCTAGGACCGCGAGCATCTGGACCGAAGCTCAGGAGCAGGGTTGCTGCAGGAGAGGTCCTGGGCCGCCAGGTTCCGGCCAGGGGCCGAGGCCAGGCTGTTCTCGCTCACGATCTCTGGTTTCTTTCTGCTGCTTCGAATGGCATTCAGAAGCCTTCATGTTGATTGTTTCTTGGATGAGTAGAAGTGTTGTGACCCACCTTATCCATCCTGGGAAGGTCTGTGCAATACGTGCTTATATGGCACGGCTGAGACTTTGATGGCCTGAACAGTTTACAAGACGCCCTTGGGCGAAAGTGACCAGGACGAGTGTGACACGGGGGACCATGTCCCTTTGCTCTCTATCACCGCTCTACCCAACTGCGCTGCCGTGTGCGTGGATGACCTCAGGGCTGAACGTACAGGACTAGGTCACTGCTCCACTCAGTGACCCTGGGACCCCTTCACCCCCTTGTACTCTGCCTCTCAGAATCACATAAGACTGGCTGATGGAGATGGGACCTTGAAGGACAGGCAGGCACTGGATGGTCCACGTGCCCGCCTATGTCTTTTTCTCACAAGCCAGGTTAGATGGCGCTTCTCTGCTCAGCAGGGACCATGAGGATCTCCGTTGGCTTTGCCACAAATGTGCTCTGGGGTATATGTTATGGCAGGTGAATCTCAGATCATTTGTGCTTTGCTTCTTATTGCTTCTTCTGCTTCCTTTTACCTTCTGGGCTGTTAGAGTCGTGAACCTTGAGGAAGATGTGATAACTGCAGGGCTCTGGGGTCCACACAGAGTGGGCTGAGCTCCCTGGGCATGCAGCATGTGCGGATTCTCCTTCACCAGCTCCTGGGTGTTCAGTGAGGGCTCCAGGTCGGGTGTGGCTGGGAGGACTTCGTGGACCCGAGGGATGTTACTGGCCTTCCCAGGGTTGGTGTGAGGGGCTCCCATGCATAAGTCTACTGGCTCCCCTCCTCCAGTTGTCAGTCCAACCTCCTCCTAACTGGGGTGCTCAGGCATTCTGGGAGGATTCTCAGGCAGGACGTTTGGGGCTAAAACTCAGATGATCGCCTCCCCACCACCTGTAGCATACAAGATTTGCTTTGGCAGGAATGCTACTTACAGTAAAATACCAAAGGGTCGGTTTGACACATAAGGAACAATCACCGTAAAAATGACTGGCATTGGGGTGTGGACCTGGCTCAGTCAGTTCAGCGTCTGACTCTTGATCTCTGCTCAGGTCTTGATCGCAGGGTCCTGAGTTCAAGCCCTGTGCGGGTCTCCATGCTGGGCGTAGAGTCTATTAAAAAAAAAAAAAAAATGCCTGGCATTTTTCAAGGCAATTAAAAGTACGTTTGCCTTCACAGTGTGACGGCAAATTATCGTAATGAGATAATTTCTCTGCCTCTGTGTTTGTGGTGATCAGAGAAATTTCCAGCTCCAGATCAGAGCATTTGCAGTCCCGCTCTGTCTGCGGGTCCTTCTTCAGGAGCGCACCTGCTCTGCCTGAGTGCAGGGCTCAGATGGACGGCCCAGCACCCACTTCCTTCCCCGACTCCATCCCGGACTCATAGTAACGGGGAGCCTGTCTGCATCTGACAGCCCTCACTGGTCTGTTTTAAATGCATCCTTTCGGGAGCCTGGAATGAACTCCAAGCACCCTCTGCATCTGTGCTTATATTTAAAACACTCACACATCCAACCATCCACTCTGCAAGCATTTCCTGAGAAAGCCCCAGGGTCCAGGGCCCATGGTCCTGCTCATGACAGAGAAGTGAACGAGGCAGTGTCTGCACCCTTGTGGGCTCTCAGCCGGAAAGAGAGGGTGTGGAGTCGGTTGTTGACCGTGGGATCTTCTCGCCAAGTTAGGGACGTGACGAAGGCCTCAGAGACACTTCCTTGTGTGCCCTGGCTCTCCTCCAGGCCCAGACAGTCCTAGCCCTGTCACCTTCCTGGGTGTGAAGGCTGTGGCTTCCATCCCACAGACAGGCTAGCGGGGCGCAGACGTCGGGACTTACCCCGGGCCTGAACTGGGTGGGTGCTGCTGCTGAGCCCGGCTCCGTGTGGGCACATTCTTCCAGTGCGGGAATGGACTGATGCCGACCACGTGCATGTCATGACGCTTGGCCTTGACCGTGGACCCCATGAGACATGATCAGACAGGTGACGCTGTCACCGTAAATGCCCAGGAGGCCCCCACGCCAGAACAGAAACCAACAGCGGCAGCACAACTCTTTCCTCCAGGCCAAAAGGTGTCTTCCCTGGAGGGTCAGAGAAGCCACGTTCCCATGGCCGGGAACAGTGACTTGTGTCAGAACAGGAAACCCAGCGTGAGCCAGAATTCCATCACACGCCAGGTTTGGGCTGCTCGTTCTGTGAACCTGAACAAGGTTTTGGTTAGAGTGGACTATTTCAGAGGTGCAGACGGGTCAGTTCCGGCTGCGCTGACCCTTGGCGTGTGATCCTTCTGCCCCGTTCGGATCTACCAGGTGACCGTTTCTTTCTGCAGGGGGCACACAGGGAAGCCTGTCCTGAGAAGCCACCAGTGCAGTGACCCTCAGGGCCCTCACAAACCCTGCCCCCTGTTTTACCAGCTACCCCCACTCATCCCACACGTGCGTGCGTGAAGCACGAGCCCTCGGAAAGCCCCCCTCAGTTCACGGGCTGGACTGGCTTCCCCTCTCACAGCTCATGCCATCTCCCTGAGTATCAAATCACAGCTCTAACTTCTGGAGTAATCAGTGCCACATGCTTGGTGCTTGCCCCTCCTACCTGACTATACCCCAGCGCTATGCCCTGTTCCTGGCACCATAGTGGGCACTCAGTACCAGTTACTCAGACGAGGGACAGAGAAAACAAACGCACCCTTTGCCTGCCATGTTTGCCGGCTCCCACCTAGAAACCCAGTGCGTCCCTCATCCGTGAGCCCATCACTCGTCTACTCCATCATCACTAGAACATCTTGCCAAGAATCCACTTCAAGCTGGGAAAAAACCACCGTCTTTTCCTTTGGGAATTTAGAGGAGTTCTGTGCATCCTGAGTCTCCCCTCACTGGTCCCTTTCCCAGTCCGCAGAGTTGGCCAACAGCTCATCAACTCCCCAGAGCTAATCTGTCCCCTCGGAGACGGGAGCTCACCAGCAAGTTCTGCAGCTCTGATGATTCCTTTCCTCCCCCTGGACACCATTTGCCTGTCACCACTGTCCCTTTCATCTCTTTCCATAGAGACATCATTCTCCTTGGCAGGCGAGGAAACAAAATGAAACTTGGATATTTTTACAGCTTTCTGGGTTGGCCTCAAACTCTAAGCTTTGTCCTTTCGTTGATTTTCTTCTTGTCCAACCAAAACAAAAGAGGATCTTTCAGGAAGCAAAACTATCCCTTGCCTCAGCCCAGATAGCAGTCACTTACTGATGTGGCTTAAATTTGGGTCGACGCTAGTGGCCATCAATATGGTTTATGCTACGTTTGTGGTTATCTGAACCACCAGGCTCCCTGTTGTGAATTGTGATCTGAGCCAGATCGTTTTAATGCTGTCCTCGTGCAATTTCCATTTTTATATGACACTGAGGAGTTTTTCCTTTCCCCTTCTAAATAGTGTTTTAATTTGCTGAAAACGTTTCAAATCTGGATTCAACCGTTGTATTGATATTGGCAGTGGTGAGCATGCCTTCCAGGTCTCCAACCCAGCCGTCAGTTCAACACTCACCAGCCCAGGGCTCCGGCTCTCTGACACTCAGGTTTCTGGCCTGCCAGGAGAGCAGGGGAGGGCCAGCCCCTCCCTCCCGGCTTCACCGTCCTGCCCTAGAACTGCCCCACCAGCCCACAGCCCCACGTACCCTTTGCACCCTGAGAAATTGACCTCAGCATGGAACCGCTCTCCGAAGGTGGCTTCTCCCAGTGTGCCTGGCTTTAGGTGACAGAGGCACACCGAGCCATCTCCTGCCCCACCCCAAAACCTGCATTTGGTTATCATCCTAACTCGTCCACTGGAAAGCTCAATGGTGGGGATGGGGGTGAGTGAAGCACGTGTCAGACCCCAAGACTCACCCAGACTGCATGCAGAATCAGACTCCAGAGCGTGCACTCTGAAC